TATGGCGACAGCGTTGGACGTAGGCGTTTGACCTTGAAAGTGTTGTATGGCCAAGGTGTTGGTCCACACCAATTTTGAGGGGAAAATGAGCTACCGTGTAGCAATGGCTAATGCTAATTGAGAAGCAGTAACTTCCTGTTGTCAACAGGTGGCGCTGTGACTAATCAAAAAATGTCAATCATGGATGTGTTCAGGGCGGGTCCCGTATCATGCATGAGAAATGTTAATATGATTGAACACTAGATGTCAAAGATGTAAGCAATTACTTTTTTGGCAACGCTCAAAAAACTTAAAACGCACGCCACGGCCACGGCCACGCCCTTTGACAAAATAACGTGCGGAGCACAACGAGATATGCTGAGCCTGTCTAGAACGCACTGACACTGAGTTTGCGTCGATGGGATGAGCGCCCTTGGACAAGTGCGTTCAAATAGGAAGGCTGAAATCAGCCATTTTGGGCTGTTATTGTAAAATTCGACTTTAATTTGTGGACTTCCTGTCAGATTTTTTGAAACGCCGCAAGAGGATTTTTAATCCGTCCTGACAAGCTTAATATGCATACCAATTTTGATTTGGTTTTGATTTTTAAAAATTGATGATTGACACCTCCGTTGACAAATGTGGTTCCTGTGGCTTAGTGTACAGGATTAGCAGAGTAGCTAACACAAGAGTCCTTGAACTTGTAGAGCTGTGTGTCTTTTTTCAAACCCACACAAGAATCTGTTCTGCTTCAGATTTGTCGGTAAGTTAAACATTTGTTTTGGCTGGTGGAAGGAGCAGGCAGCTAAACAATGGCAGAGTCTATCAAGCAACTCTTAATGACACTAGAGTAATATGTGAATGACCTTAGTGAGGGTTATGGTTTTACTGGGTTCTCCTTCAGCACATTGCACTGCTCTCCAACCCTTTACTCTATATTATTGACTACATTATCACAGTTACCATTTTTTTTAAGAGGAGATTTAATTGTAACCATTTGACAGTGAGGCTTCAATATGAAGCCATACCTGTTGTTCATGACCCCAATCAATTACATATCGCAAGGAAGCACTGGATTTATTTTTTTTCAGGAGTATCCAGCCTTCTCATATCCCTCAGGAGTAGCAAGGTCAATTTTTTTTTTTTTATGAGAGATCTCTATCAAACTGAAGCTCTGCCAAGCCTGGATATCTGAGGAGAGTCACTTTAGCCTTAATGGACTATTCCTTTTTGGAGAATGTAAGAAATGTTAGACCACTGGAAATAATTATATAAAAGGTTCATAAACTTTAAAATGTGATAAAACAAGACAGTAAGGGGAAGAGGGACCCGACATGATGCAGTTTATCCATTATAAAATGACGATATTTAAAAATTAGGGCTGGGCAACAATTAAAAGTTTTAATCGCGTTAATCGCATGAGTTCCTGTGATTAATCACGATTAATCGCATTGTTATACGCAAAATCCAATAATGAATTAAAAAGTAGTGTATAACGTACTTTTATTGTAAATGTACTTCTCAACTTAAACAATGTAATCAAAGCAAATAAACACAAAACTAAAGCTTATTGCCACTGCAAGGGCATAATGTCATCCTGTTTGTTATATTAAAAAAAAACTGCCCAGAAAGGTTTTAGGCTAAGAGGTATAATTAAAATGTTGGGACGCAATTTTTAAGAGAGAGTGTGACAGGTCAATTGAGAACATTGATGTTTACTGTTTGGTTATCGGGGACCCCACAAACATTTTTTTTTGTACTTGTCATTTTGAAATTCTTTAGTTTAAAATCTTTTTTGAATTCATCTTCAAAGTTGCTAATGTTAATGTATTTTTCATTATTCAAGCAGTTGATGTTGACATGTTATTAATTAAATGCGCCGCATAATCTACACCACTAGGTGAAGTCTGTGAGTGAGAAACAGTGACATGCAGGGTTCAGAGAAGAAGAGTTTTGTTTTTGTGACGCTCTGGAGTTAGCAAGAAAGCTGTAGTTATTATTCAGCAGCTGAAGAGACTCGTAGGCAGAGTGAATGAAGGTACTGGGTCTTTGTTAAACGCTTAAATAAAGTTAAGACAAGTGAAACGACCTTTCAGCGTCCGTCTGAGTTTCTGGCTGCAACATATTTTGGAGTACTTATCAAGTACTCCGGTGATAAGAAAATTCAACTTCGCAGTGGTTACAAATAACTTTGGCTCTGTGGACTGCGCCGTCTGGAAGAACTTTAAAATGAAAATGGCCATGTAGAAGTTCCGTACCCTTCTCCATGCTTGATTATCCGCCAATTATTTTCTGACTGTTTCCTGTTTCCTGTGAGCGCCGCAGCAGTAAGCAACATACTAGGCTCGCTCACGATGGAATTTTACAAAATAAAAGCCAGTGAGCAACAGACTTTTACAATAAGAAAATGAATAATAAAAACTGCGTTAATGCGAGATAAAATAATTGTCGGCGATAATTAATTAATGAGTTAACGCGAAAATAACGCGTTAATGTGCCCAGCCCTATTAAAAATACATGTTTTTTGAGAAGCATATCATCATTGAACCTATACGGCTCAGTGGTAGAGTGAGTAATATTCAATCTGAAGGATGGCCGTTCAATCCCTGGCTCCTGCAGGCTACATGTCGAACTGTCCTGGTGCTCTACATCCAATTCCAAACTGCGCGTGAAAGCATCGCCATCGGTGTGTGAAAGTGTGTGAATGAGATTAGTTAGATCCTGGGCAGATAGGCAATTTGCACCGCAGTCTCTGCCATCAGCGTTTTAAAGTGTGTGAATGATGAATGTAACATGAAATGTAGAAAAGCTTTGAGTGATTACCATTATATACCATTTTAAAATAAACAGACCACTTTGCATCTGGACGTCAACACTAAAGTGATTGTCAGTACCAAAATAATTTTCTCTTTTACTCTTGTAGCATCAATGACAGAAAGCTAACGGACAGCAGAGAATATCTATAAATACTGGAGCCTCTGACTTCAGGAGGTAAGCCGGTAACATTTCTTACATCAGTGTGACAACTAATGGATGCTATCTGGGGCTTTAAGATTTCCCTTGACAACAATCCTAAGAGCCTGTAAACAAAATCTCATCCTCACATTAATAACAGTGGAGGAGTTGTTCCCTCTGCTGTGAGGAAGAAAACACAGAGACTCAGACAGATCAATAACACTCCCACAAGAGGAGTGGGCAGCCGCTTCCATTGGCTGCAAGACTGATAGCTCTATTAGCACATGCCGTGCAAATATCAAGGGTATCCTGATTCCCACTCTCCATCAAACCACACAATATAATGAAGATCCCAGTTGTGTGCAATTAACACTCGGTAATCTGCTTCAGCAGAGACAGTCTGTGTTTCTCTTAGCACAATGAAAAGGAGCCCACTTGGCTTTGTCTCTGCGCCCTTCTGCGTCTTTTGGGTGTGTGTTAAGTATTAAAACTGACTAGCTTTTATTAAATAAACACGATTACTATGCATACACGTATAAGCATTCATTCAAAACAAACAACCCTTTGGCCAGAGAGAATATGTATACTGACAGGCTCCACAAAACCGCAGATTTTATGGAAAGTTGAAAGTGTAGAGACCCACATGAAACAAGATAAAAGAGAGAGAAAGGGCTGTGGTCTGTAAAAAAGGCACCTGGGTAAGAGCTGAATTGGTAATTTTGCAGATAAATGGAACTCATTTTGAACATTTTGATATCAGGATGTTCATTGCCATTTTTTAAAATTGTTCAGTTCTACGGCATTTTGTAAATGGCATCTGGAGTGTGATTTGAACATTTTTTAAGGTTCTTGAAGAAGGTTCTACTGGCAGAAAAATGACCATCTGTTAGGAAGGCTGAATAATTTGGTTAAGGTTCCCAATTGGTTGAAGTAATCAACAAAACTCTGACTCCATGTTCACATTCTGTTTAGTTTACTTTAGCTGCTAGCCTAAAACTTAAGTCAAGAACTGAGAAACTATTTCAAAACTCTAATATATATCTTTCTTTGTGAAGTCATGAAAAGTGAGTTAATGTTTATTTCAATTCTAGACCTCTTTTGACCAATGAAAGTATTGTTTAAACATTTCTCTAACATAAGATGACTAAGGCCCCGTTGAAAGCAAAAGGTCACGGTTAAAAATTCGGCCAAATTCATTGTGTATTTCAGGCGGTCGATTTATAAGCTCAAAGCATGCTGGGACACTGACGCATACCAGGCTGGTGGCACAGCAGCTTTTCTCCCATGTTAGGCCATATTCATGCAAAAAAACAATGATATACTATTCACTATTCAGACTTTGTAGAGTGTTTCTGGGTGGCAGGACAAATGCAGTTTATGATGAGTTTGTTTTGTGCAGTGGATCCTTCACGTAGTGCTTTACATTCACTTCCCATGTTAGCAAATAAGCTAGCTTTGTGGTACAGTTTGTTTGTCATTCTTTAAGGTAACTCCCCAGCATTTTATAATAACTGTTCTAGTTTGGAAGTGTATACCATAAGTCTGGTACTAATCACATAGCATTAGCAGTTCAATATTATCCCTTTGATACACAGGATCATGGCATAACTGTTCATCTGTGTAGAAAGCACAAACGCAGGAAACTCCCCTCTTCAACCTCCCTTCCTGTCTCATTAGTAAAAACACTACCTGCTGGGTTGAAGTCTGCCAACGATGTAAATCATGGGGTGAAGAATCATTCAGCATTTTAGATCAGGAGTTGCTTTTGAAACGAGCATGAAAGGTGCCAAGTCCATTGTATTCTCTTCACCTTCCAACTCTGTCATGTGCCGCATCTCCAGCTCCCTAGTGATTCATGTTGACCTAACCTTTTCTCCTTTTTAGTTGTTTTCTTGTCTCAACCTGAGGAAATTGACAAGCAAAGATTGTTTTTACAACCATCTCGCCACTTTCTCTGATTTATTTGAGTCCATTCACCTAGGTTTCCCGCCAATACGATAGAAAAACAAACTTATTTCACACTTCAGTCTTTCTCTCCAATTCAGGCAAACACAGAATGATCTTACCGTAACAATAAGGCCCCTCTCCTGGAAGTATTTGACCAGAGGGATGGTGTTTTGCTTGAAGTTGGTCAGGCGGCGGTCGATGGCCTTGGGGTTGTCGTCAGGTCGTCCCTGCTGCTCGGCACGTTTCTGTAGCCTCTCCTTCAAGCGGTGGTTGGTGCAGGCCAGAAACACCACCAGGTCAGGAGTGCAGATCTGCCATAGGGGAGAACATGTGTGAAATGTGTGAGCCTACACCACAAAGACTGTGGTTCATTTAGAGGTGATGTTAAGGATTTGACCGGTCGGTCTAATTTTCGACTCAATGAACCGTGGCTGAAATGTCCAGACTGCAATTCACTCAAGAATAAAATCCTTCTCTCCTTTCTTTCTGAAGAGATTTTTTTTTAATCCACATTTTAAAGCAATTCCAACACGTGCACGTCAGTAGATTGAATTATCCCAATAACTATTTAAACTGTAGCCTTGGAAATAGCCTCAAGCTGCTTTTTCTGATGATGCAGTTTTAATACAGGTTTGATTATAAAGTAAAATAAAATGACACATTGTTTTTCCAACGGGAGGCAAGAACAGAAATACCTGCCACATGGACAGATCGTCTTTATTTTGGTTAACTCACCCTTTGTGACAATCAGATGAGAACAAGATTGTATGTGATTACAGGAAAATAAAAGTCAGTTCCTCTTTTACGACTTCATTAACAGCAAATGACATTTGAGGTGCGATCACACATGCAGCCTCTTCTGCAACAGTGACAGCAGTTTTCTATTTAGGGATCAAACGTGAGCAGGAGCCGGTGAAGCGTAAAACGACAGCTCAGGGCTCAACATTCCCTGAGACAATCAGTGCGCGTGAACACCGCTGTGATTACTCATCAGTCTTTATTGCTATGGCAGCCAAAATCATAAAGCTTGAGGGTGCAATTTAGCTCCTTTTCTCCTACATGATTAATTTCATATAAGCTTGTTTTAAAACAATTGAGACTGTCAGTGTTTACATATGATTCAAACAGCTATTCTTCATGCAATTCTTTTGATTCTTTTTGACACTTAAAGGAAACTGAATAACATTTGAACACAGCACAGACATGTTGACTGAAGATAATCTTCACCTCTTTTAAACTGGACCTGCTAGTTTGCAGATTCAGCATGCATGTAGCAGATTTATAGGGACGTATCTATCCTTCAGCTGCTGCTCTATGTTCACAAGCTATTTTCTATTCATGCCTGCCTGCTGTTTCACATTCTGCACAATAGGGTGAAGGATTAAATGCTAATGGAAGTTATGCAACAACAAAACAGTAATTCAGCTAAATCAGTTTGTTTTGAACTTTTTGCTATTTCTGAGGATTCTATTCCTTTTTTATTGAGCTGTTGTAACAAATAAATTTTCCCGATCATGGGATCAATAAAGTGTTATCTTATCTTAATTTGTAGATAGTGAAACCAAAACAACGACCTGAAAGACACTAAAAAGCTCTGTAAATGTTATAATACCATTAGTGAGTGAAGCTTGTATATTCCTTGAAGAAAGATGACATTTATAAACGTTGTATTTAGTTAAACAACACTTCCTCTTGTGTAATACTGCTTCAATAGCATTTGAGCATCTAAGAAGTATCAATACATCTGGAATCTCACAAAAAAATCTTTCTACATCCACTTGGATACAAGGCGGTACATTTTTATCTTTATCCTGATTTTGTCCTGGACATGTGTAGGCAGTGTTTTTATTAATAAAAGATGATATCCATCTGTTGTGTAACGGTCGAATGTGTCACTTATCAAGAATCTTTACTGTGGAAGATGTAAAAAAAAAATATCTCTCGGCATAATTTCATGAATTAAAATAATGACCTGTATTCAGAAACAATCAATCTTGTCGCTAACTCTCTTCTTTTACTTTGCAGGGCACATAGAGGTATACGTTTTAATTCCATTGTATTTCATATCCAGCTTAAAACTCCTCACAGGTGCTTTAAGAAACAAAAGGTTCTGAAAGCTCACATGATGCTTCAGTATTATAAATACAGTAAATCACTCCCCATTTGCAATCAAGTTTTGGACCAAGTTGTCTCGCCCGGATGCAATTACTGCAATCAGAAGATGATGTATTAACTACGACACGCCTTCACTGTCTGCTGCCAAGAGATGATGGTGAACAAATAAGCACTCACGATTCTAATTTATAGGAAAAGGTCAGACGGCATCCGCAGCAGCACTGACTGAATCATAGAGGTTTAATTTGTGACTCTTCAGTGAGTCCAAGACATAACAAGATTCCTTAGTAACCAGGGGGTTCATAAATGGAACAGGCGGATGTGTGAGCTGCGGATTTGACTATTGTGAAGGAAGCTGTTATCGATTGAATATAGAGCAGAATCAGATAACGATGTAAATTACTTGGTTTCCCTGCTTTTGACACCTTTAACTGAGGCACTTCTAGTTTTATAAAGAAAGCGGTTTACTCCCCTTATCTTTAACACCACAAATGACCGTCATCAGGAGGAACTATCCTAAGTACTGAAAGCGGTTTATTATTATTCATACTCTGCCATGTGTTATCCTCCCTCATTAGATGAGATGTACTTTGCTGCACACTCCAGATTCTGCGTCTGCTCATGGTTTCGGGGCTAAAAATAGCTCCAGCGGTGTTGTGTTTGTTAAGGCAACGCGACTCAGTTTGGAGTCTTAGCAAATCAAAGTTACCGTTTCCATGGTGACCGCACTTGTGCCCTACTTTTTTTGCTCAGGTTGTATCAATAATGTGAGGCAGCAATTGCACACTGCAGCTGTTCTGAAATGAGGAATCTCAATTTTATTGTTATCAGATTACATCACATTAGGAGCAGCTATTTTCTAAAACAGCTTGAATGACGACCGCTCGGTTTGTGATATCTTTGCTCAAAGGTTAGGAAGCATTTAGACGGATTACTCTCTAGTACGACAAAAAAAGGGCAGAAGTAGGAACATTTTGGCCCAATTTTTGTGCCAAACACAACAACAGCTAATACTGTTTGGGATATTCTGCTAAATTCACTCGATCAAACTAAGAAAAGCAGACAAATAAACTGGTAGCAGGCAGTGAAATGGAGCTTCCTGTTGTGCTGCACAGGAAAGTCAACATCCTTTATATAGGAAATGCAAAAGCTATGATACTGACACTATCAGTAACATGATATAATCTTAATATACTGTTTTACATGACATATAACTAAAATATTTACATGCACAACTGACAGTACTGATCTTGGAAAATGGTCTCCTGCACATAACACTTTGCTTTCATACATCTGCCTTTAATACTTCTATATATATATATATATATATATATATAGGCTATATATATATATAGGCTATATATTTATAATTTATAATTTTTTTAATGTACATTTATTAGGTTGTGCTATGTAGGAAACTTTCTATATAATAATATACTGAAAAAAAGGCTAAGGTAAAGAATTTCAGGAGGACAGCCACTGAATGAAATCCTCCTCATTTGGTTGTTCACACATGCACCTCACACATAAATGTTCCCCTCTTGGATTCATCGCAACATCTTTTATGAGACAATGAAGAAAATAGTCCCTAGTTTCCCTCAGTCTATTGCAAGAAAATGTTGCTTTGATAAGATCAATAGCTTCTTCTATGTATTCATTTCTTTCCCACTAATGTTAGATGTTGTACAAGCTTATCTGACAAACTTTAACTTCTATTGAAAAATTTGTTCTTTCTAATGTTTTGCCCTAACTGAACTGGTATTGATTTATTTTAAAACCTTGTGTTTTTCTACTTTACAACTGTTTTATTTTCCTGCCTTTGTGGAGCACTTTGTAAATTTGATTTATTCAATGAATAAAGGTCAATATTCAGCTTTCACTAATAGGTCAGTGTTGTCGTCAGCTCTTAAACCCTCAGTTCAGGGGTTTATTTTTTTAATCTTTGAATAAGAAAACAAATGAAGCATATTAATCCAGCAAAAAAATAGTTATCATGACGTACTCTCTCCAGAAATAGACCTTATTCATTGGGCTTCTGTTGTATCATGTAGAAACCGCTGATTACAGGCTTCACTCCAAACTACTGTTTGCCTTCTTTCTGCTCTGCTTTTCTATGAGCTGGCATGGCTATCAGGCGTCTCCATCTGTCTCCATAAACCCTGCGGTTGTTTCCTCTCTCTGCTGTCCAGTAGCTCTCGTAGAGAACAGACTGTTCATTTTCAGACGTCTCAGAGAGGTTTGAATGGCATAAATCTTACTGATGCAAACAAACAGAACTATAAATGAACAAGAACATTTAGCTGAATATAAGTGGGCCCTTGGTGATGTGTTAGCAGGCAGCTGGGCTCAGTAAAGGCTGTAAAAGGTGGGAATCTTATGGTCTACAAAATGTCAAACTTTTCAGGAAACTGTCTATCATCCATCGTCCAACAACCAGAGAAAACCCACAAACTTTCAATTTAGCATAAAACAATAAAGCAACACATCCTTTCAAATAAGAAGTTTAAATTTGCTAATGTTTGGAATTATTGCTGAAAACATTAACACAAGAAAATTAATTATGAAAATACCAATTTACCTCCTCAGATGTTGATAACTGACCACCAAAGTCCACTTCAGACTGACTACAAAAACCAAGCTATCCCCATCAAAGCCCACAGTGGAATGTCATTTTTTTACAGGAGAAATCAAATTGTTTACCGTCTGGTTCAACTAACTGTTCTAGTCTCTCTATATCAGTTATCATAATTGTTAGTAAAAACTGTGGCCTCATCTGTTTTGGTTACAGCTTAAGAGTTATTCATCATTAGTCATAATAAATAGGGCTGTGTCTGATTTGACTGACAGGCAGGCTCGTTTTAGATGGCAAGGCTATCGAAGTTTCCCGTCACTGACCTTAATCTGTCAGCTTTCTCAATGTTTTTTAATCATTTGCTGAATGACAAGTTTGATGAGTTAGACTGGCATGTCTCAGCAACCCAGATATTCATTTGGCCTGCCTTTACTCCACTTCTTTGCCTGCTTCTTAATTAGCTGAAGTTATTTGAGGTCAGCATTTCCAATAGGTGAAACCATTGCTCGGGTACATAAAGCCTTTTCAGAAAATAACGGGTGACAACATTTAGACTATGTCCTTGTTTTATAGTCTTTGGAAATAACAGGATGATTTATATGGTTGACAAATTGATTAGTTGTC